TACAGTGGATAGAGCACCAAGCCTGGAGCCAGGAAGAGCTGAGCTCTAATGTGACCTCAGGCTTACTATATGCGTAACTCCAAACAAGCCACTTAACCATGTTTGCTGCCTCGGTTTCCTCATCTGTAAAATGATCTGGAGAAGGAAAGAATGGCAAACCAATCCAGCATCTTTGCTAAGAAAACCCCAAATGATGTCAAAAGGAGTTAGACTTGACTGAAAGGAGTGAACAACAATAAACAATAAGAAAGAGAATTACTCATTTTGCCAAAGTTACCTTAGAAGACAGAACTAGACTCATAGAATCCCAGAATACCTGGGTTGCAAGAAACCTCAAAGTTCCTCTAATATAACCCTTAACTGAAACATGAATCCTCCTTTACAAGATTCTTAGTAACTGGTCAAATGATAGCAAACTTATTACTTCCCAAGGTAGTCCATTAAATATTTATACAGCATTTTCATAAAGTCATCTTTTTATATTGAGCTAGAATCAACCTCCCTATAAGTGCCACAGAATCCTACCCTCTGGAGCCACAAAGTATAAGTCAAATTTCTCTTCTTATATGACAGATATTGGGAAACAGTTATCATACTCCCTTCCCCACTGTGTTAATCGAGATGATAGTTCCAAGGAATAATAATGAAGTCACAAATTCAGTCGAATTTAAGGTTTGCAAAGCTCTTCCAACATCTTATCTTCACAAAAATCTTGGGAGATAATTGCTTATTATTAACCCCATTTTACAGATGAGAAAGCTGAGGTAGACAGGTTAAGTGCCTAGGGTCACGCAGTTAGTATGTTTCTGAGGCAGGATTTGTGCTCAGGTCTTTCTGTTTCAAGTCAACATTTTATCCTTTGTGTCACCCAGCTGTAGATTTAAAATTATTTTATAGGACACTGTTATTGTTATCGGCCAGGGGAATGATTAGGATTTTGATCCTTCAGATAGCATTTTTTTTTCAATAATCATGATCAGTTCAGTATATTTTTCAGTTAAAAAGATCTGATTGGTACAAGTTTTGTTCCAACTCTTTACCAGGTTTGTGATGATAAACATATCATTTAATTTCCCTGGACCTCTTTCTTAGCTGTAAAATGAAAGAATTATCTAGATGTTCTTTAAGGGTCACTTTTAGCTAGGTGGTGCAGGGAATAGAACACTAGAACTAGAAGTAGAAAGACATGAGTTCAAATCTAGCCTCAGAAACTTACTAGCTATTTGACCCTGTGCAAATAAAACACTTCACCTCTTTCTGCCTCAATTTCCTCATCTATATAATGGGATAGAAATAACACCTGCTACTCAGGGTTGTTGTAAGGATAAATTGAGATCTTTGTAGAGCATGTTACAAATCTTAAAGTGTCATTTAAATGCTAATTATCTAGCTGTGATTCTATGACTGTGACAAAAGGCGAGGGGGAGGGGGAGGTAAGTAATCTGAGTCCCAGAGGTCATTGACATAGGATTCTTTCCTTACTGATGGAGATCAGATGCCCTACACCTGTGGGAGAGGTAGGGCAGAACGGGAGAGAGGAGGAAAAGTTGTTTGAGTCTCTTTGGGTTCTGCAGTTGTTTGGGGTGTTTCTGGCTTCCAGTTTCAAGAGAGAAGAGATGGAAGATGCCAACCCCACTTCTGATGGCTGAAGGAAAAGATTCTGGAATGAAGCTGATTTGAGGGAGCTAGCAGTCTCTATTAGGTCCCTGTTACCAACTTCCTATGCTACAGACTTCAGGAATTCCCCCATGAGTAAGTTCTGCTGCTCTTCTTGGTTGACTGGGAGAGCACCTTCACTTTATATTGTATGATATACATTCTCCTAGGTATACTTTCTCTGATTTCTTTTTTGCTGTGATCTAAATAAATGAGTTTCTTTGCTACTTACTTAGCATGTGTGTTAATTTGGGAACAGGTATTTGGTGGGAAGAGAGTCAAGCCTAGGACAAAGTTTGAATACCACTCCCCCCATTAAGAGACAGCAATTAGCTTGAATCTGAAAATGACATCCCCCTAAACAATAGTTAACAGAGCAGCCTGGTACCCCCTCTCTTAAGAGAGCAAAATGAGGAAGTTTCTGGCCACAACCTCCTGATTCCCCTGCTAGAAGGAATTAAAGACTCCCTTGGAGAAGGGCTCAGGGAAAATAAGCTACAGACGTTTATTTTGATTCCCTTTAAGTCACATAATGATACCCCTAAACTACATGTGGGGGACAGAAGAACTAGCTATGTTTATTTCAATTCTATTCAATTTCAATTCAATTCTAGAATGTATCATCTTTTCAGCTGCACTAGAAGCTGACCCGCAGTTCTTCTCATTTAAAGATTCTTATTCAGGAAAAATATTGAGACAGCAACGGTGTAATTTGACATGTGTGTTCAACCTCACTCCTTATCTTTCTCTGGTTCAAGGACATGAAACTATGCCCATAACTGCCTGCAGGAAGCTGGGTGTACCCAGATATAGATCTATCTCCAGATTGCCTGTGGCTGTTAGAAACTATGTGGTTTTATAATAAGGCAAACAAAGGTAACTGGAGTCCATTACAACCTTATTAATCTAGCCCAAAGGTTCTTAAACTGGGCTCCTTAAGTTTCATTAGGGGTTGATGACACTAAAAGGTGAAGAACTCCCAAATTAGGATAAGCATGACCCAGGTACTTTGGAAAGCAACCATTATGATTAGGTCAGATAAGGCAAAATACAGGGGTTTGTGGAATTTTTTTAAAGTCGGGGCTATCATCATGGGAATTCATCAGTTACTCCAGCTCTGGTAAGGGGTCCTCATCTAACCATTTTAAATGTCTTCTTTTCTCTAGGCTGCATATGCCCAACCTTCCAAATTATCATCATGTGTCTCTTCATTATCCTCTCATTAGATTAAAGAGGAAAAAAGTTCTGTTGCAATCACAGACTTAAAATATACTATACGTAACTTCTTGTGTTTGGAAATGACCAGTCTTTGGAAGTTTACTAGCTTACAGAGAGAGAGAGAGAGAGAGAGAGAGAGAGAGAGAGAGAGAGAGAGAGAGAGAGAGAGAGAGAGAGAGAGAGAGAGGCTGCATTACTACTGCGGAAAAAATCATTTTAAATACAAAGGAGTCTACTGTACCACATAGATAATGAGTCCTGGGAAATAACCACAGCAAAATCACCACCTGCTGTGAAACAATCAGGGAAGGAGTGACCCTCTAGGAACAAAGGTATCAAAACTGCCTTAATCTCTGATAAAGAGATCTGGACAACACTTGCTTCTGCAAACAGACACTTGCAGCCATTAACACAGTACAGAAATAGATGATGGTTACTTATCCCTTTTCACAGGCAAAGGCACAATGATCCATCTGCATCATCTTATCCACATATTTATTATCCTTGTAGTGTACCTCTAGTTAATAAGCCCCACAAGAGCACAGAGCATCTCCTGTTTATCTTGCATAGCCTTCAGCATCTAAAGAAATCCTATGTCCATAGTAGGACTTAGTTTGTGGTAGATAGGTTTAGAATGCAGTAGATGAATAGTAGGTGAATAAATATGAGGGAGCAGAGATAGGGAGCAGGGTATAGTGGAAAGAGTACTGACTCGGAAGTCTGAGGACCTGAGTCTAAATCCTTCCTCTGACAAGTACTGCCTATGTGACCTTGAGCAAGTCATGAGCTCTCTGGGGCTGTTTCCTCATCTATAAAATGAGGCAGTTGGACAAGATGACTTCTGATGTCTCTTTCAGCATTGTATCTGTGATTCTGTCTGTATGTGGGTGGTATTGAAGGGGAGAGAGAATGTGGCATTATACTCATGGCTAAAGGTCAAACGTAGTATGATCTTCTGCAGGGAAGAATAGTAAATTCACAAATTATGGTTATGATTACATTAATATTATGAAGGTTAATTGTGTAGCCTTTGGAAAGGAGGTAAGTAAAGCATATTTAAATATTCAAAATCTTGATTTTTACTCCAAGGAGATAAAATCAGTGAATACTTTCATGTACTAATAATTAAAGTAGAAAATCAAAATGTACCCAGAATTACCTTGACCAGGAAAAAGAGAGACAGAGAGTAAGAGATAGAGGAAGAGATAGATACTGTTGTAATTTATCAGTTCCATCATGGTTATTCCCCATTTCATGGATGATAACAATAAATCAATAAGCAAATATTTCTTAATCCCCTATTGCCAAGCAGTAAAACATTAAATATTTATATGGCACTTAATGCTTTAAATAAACTATGTTATTTGAGCCTCAAAATATCCCTTCAAGGTAAACAGGGCAAGTATTAGCCCTCTCCTTTACATATGAGGAAACTGACGCTCAGAAATACATAAGCTGGTACATACACAGTCAAACAGTCTGCTATGACACTTTTATGATTTTAAGGAACACTAAAATGGTTGTAGGAAGGAAAGATAGATTTCTATTCTCCCTCTCTTATTATAATGCACTTTAAATAGGACACTAGAACCTACTCGTCTAAGTTACTTCTGATTGTCCACTCCTGAATCTCTAATAAGGCCATTAAATTCATTTTAGCATGTGCTTGTTTCCAGGGGCAGCTTGTTAAAATCCAAATGAATCCATCAGCATGAAGGAGAGAAACGCACAAGACAAGAGCGGGGATTAGCATGACAAAATATCTGCCTATGTCAACACCACGTGTCAAAGAAAATGAGGCTCCAGGAGACACTGATCCAGACAGCTTATCGTTTGTACTCTCCCAACATCTCCCTAGTGACAAACAGGCTACACTCACAAGTGCAGCTTCTTTCCTTCTGACATGGCTGTGAAGAGCTCAAAACCTATTTTATGGAGTTCATCTGAAAACTCTGCCTGGAGGGTTTATCCTAAAAGTATTTATGGGGTTATAAGGTTTGTGCTTCCTTTTTCAGACATCTTAAGGAGAAGTAAAATACCTTCCCTACGTTCTCAGCAAGGTCACTTCAGAGACACACACACCCCACCCTGCCCCAGGCTAGTCCCTAGAGAGTTATGTTACTTACTTGGGATAGTTCCTTGGCTGGATGAAGGGCAGAATCTCTGAATCTTGTCCAGACTGAGGGAGCAGCAAATCTCGAAATCTTTCTGCCAAAAAAAAAAAACCATATTAATTTGCAGAGATAGAGGGGATTTCAAGTCATGGCAATAATTTAAAAAAATATATTTTCCTAAGGTGGTGTTTTTAGTGGAATAGAGAGAGAAGTCTTATAGGATCACTCACCACATTGTTCCACAGATCATTTACTAGACAACAAAGTAAACTTGGAATTGGAAGAAAACTTGAGTTTAAATCCTGCATCAGACACTAGCTGTGTGATGCTAAGTAAGTCATTTAATTTTTCTAAGCTTCAGTTTCTCATCTATAAAATAGGAATACTACTACTACTAATAATACCACAGGATTATTATGAAAATCATATTAGGTTGGTGTGCAGAGGAGTGTGTCTAGAGTGCTTTGTAAACTCTAAAGTATTTATTTGTTTTTTAGAATATCATATTTGGCAGATTTTGATTCTATAGTCTAAGTCAGTCAACTAGACCATCCTCATTATTTTCAGAGATGCAGCTCAGCTATAGCTTCACCACTGAGTGATAACTTTTTTTTAAACCATGACAAAACATGAAACAATGAAAAATAACCCTAAATCTTGTGTGGCCCCTTTCTGCTTTTGTAATGATAGTGGCAGAATGATGGGAAGGCAAGTGTAAGGTTCTAAGAATCACACAATTTTTATACTAGCTATAGGCCTTGGAAGAAACTGAATTGGTAGTGGCAGTCATTCTGGAGCTCTCAACCCACAGATGGTAGGGAGGCCAGACAAATGGTCAGAAAGAGATCCTTTGGGGGCAGCTAGATGGCGCAGTGGATAGAGCACTGGCCCTGGATTCAGGAGGACCTAAGTTCAAATCCAACCTCAGACACATAACACTTACTAGCTGTGTGACCCTGGGCAAGTCACTTAACCCTATTGCTTAGCAAAAACAAGAAAGAAAGAAAGAAAGAAAGAAAGAAAGAAAGAAAGAAAGAAAGAAAGAAAGAAAGAAAGAAAGAAAGAAAGAAAGAAAGAAAGAAAGAAAGAAAGAAAGAAAGAAAGAAAGAAAGAAAGAAAGAAAGAAAGAAAGAAAGAAAGAAAGAAAGAAAGAAAGAAAGAAAGAGATCCTTTGCTGGCACTGGGCACAAGACTCTATTGCATTGCCCATACATGGTTCAGGATCATAGTCCCATGGTGAGGAAGAGCACCAGCAGGAGCAGGGACACTGTGATAATAAACATCAGGTTTTGCCAAAGGTTTTCTCTACTGTGATGGAAGAGATGTAGTGAAGGGTCCAGATCAAAGATATTGTGTGGAAGATGATATCCCTTAGGTGCTCCACTTTGTAGATTACATTGTTCTGATTATATCAAATCTTCAGACATTGCATAGCCTCCTGGAAGAGATCTATAATCAGGGGCAGCTAGGTGGCAAAGTGGATAGAATACCGGTCCTGAAGTTAGGAAGACCTGAGTTCTAATCCAGCCTCAGACCAAACACTTGACACTTACTAGCTGTGTGACCCTGGGCAAGTCACTTAACCCCCATTGCCTAAAAAAAAAAAAGAAAAAAAGAATGTCACACGGCCCTTCAAATTCCTGTTAACATAGTGACAAGGTAACGCCTACATTACAATTGGGCTGTGTTCCAAAAACTTATTTGCATATGACTGGGTGTTGGAATCCCTTTTCTCAAGAAGCAAAATATGCTATAAATTATGGTAAGTTCCCCACACTTGTCTATAAAAATAAGCACAACTTATAATATTGAGGTCCCCCCCAAAAAAACACAGTATGAATGTAGCAAGAAATGGTAGAAATATAGAATTGATTTTTTTCTTTTAAATACTATAAACTTAAACTAAATTAAAAGAATTTAAACACATCAAAACACAACCAGAAGGATTCTCCATGAAATTAGCATAGCTGTAAATCCTGTTCTCCATGGCAGGATCTTAATCTCATGTTGTGGCAGGATATCTTTTTTTTTTTTTTAGGCAATTGGGGTTAAATGACTTGCCCAGGGACACACAGCTAGTTAAGTGTCAAGTGTCTGGTCTGAGACCATATTTGAAATCAGGTCCTCCTGACTCCAGGGCCGGTGCTTTATCCACTGTGCCACTTCCCCACTCCTCTGGCAGGATATCTTGATCACATCTAAGATATGTCAGGGAGCAGAAGGAGATTATGTGGCTCTAAGTCTAAGGAGATGATCCTTTGGTTCCCAAAGTTCCTGATCCCATTTGGGTAACTGCAAAGGGAAGGGGGAGACTCCACATGACCATCCAAACAAATTGATGTTTAATTATGAGGGAGTGTGGAGTGTTAAAGCAGGTGTCAGTCAGCCAAAAGAATGGATCCTGGGCTCCCTGATATAGAGTCCTTGTTTGTGTGTGTGTGAGACACACACACACATGCATATTTGTGTAGTTGGGGGTAGGGCTCAAGTACCGAGGCAATTCTTAGCAGGTGCCAGAAGAGTAAGGAGGTGCTAAAAGAATTTCTATAAGTTGGCAGCATTAACAGGGAACAAGAGACCTGTATTGTAACATTTTCTGCTATAACAACAAAGTTAAGAAAGATAATCAGAGAAAAGCATTATAGCATTACAGATTGGGACCTCAGAGGCATCTAGTCCAAGCCCTTCATTTTATAGATGAGAAACTGAGGCCACAGACGTTAAATCTTGTTTCTAAGAGCAAAGAGGTATTACGTAGCAGAGGCAAGATTTGAATTTAAGTTCTCTGACCCTGGGAAATGGGATTGCCTCCTTCAACATCAGAGAAAAAAAATGAGTTCTGAGCTGCTGGTTTCATGGATATTTGAGAAACCTATGTGTACTGGGTATCTAAACAACTGACTATATACAGTCCACTTTTATTTTTAATTTGTTATAGATACGACACATACCATGGAACATCACCAGGATAATTCAATTCAAAGGATATCTAAAAGTGGAATATTGGATTCTGTATTGAATAATTCACAACATTGCAGAAGAAAGACCAATTGTTTAAATCCACAGTAAAAGACATGCCTCAAATGGCAATGTGATACTTTAGTCTAACTGAGTCACAACAGAACCTAGACGGGATGACAAGAATGACCAGGCAGAAGGTAATAAACTCTTCACTAACTGAAAAGGTGACCTCTTCTCACAAAGTGCCAGGAAGCTAAGCTTTATAGCAATTGACATTTGCTAATTACTGTTAGGGATTAAGCCATTGATGGGCAGAGAGTTTATAAAGAACGCCAGAGAGAAAATATTCGTTTTATTTACATTCATACTTATTATAAGAAAAATACATAAGAAATATATGGATGTGTGCACTACCCAACATTCACCCATTATACTCAAGATCTAAGAATAAAGGTTAGTCCCACTGTGGGAGCCCACAGTCCCAGGAAGGCATTACTCATTTCTTCATTTTAATTATTCCTCTTTCCTACCTCTAAGTTACATTCTGTAACTTAGCTGAAATCATAGTATTGACTAGTGCTCTGTTACTATTAATTATTATGAAGAATGTCTCTTCCAAAGATTAGATGCCTAGGAAATTATTCTTATGATATACTGTTCTTGATTTCGAATAAAACTCCCCAGCTATCATGCAAGCTTGATCAAATGTAGCACCTTATAATATAGTTTATCCTTTTCCAAAACACATTTTTCTTTCACATTCTTCTGTGAGTAGTCACCAACATTCTAACCAATCCACAAAATAAGTTACTACCAACAAAAATTAAAAAGTAATCCCAGAAAAAGGAAAATATCTTTGTGGATTGAATAATTATTTTGAGAACTCTAACTTTTCTTGAGATGAGGCCAAAGTAGTATATTCAAGTATTTTGCTCTATAGGACCAATAAACAGTTCTTAGGTATTATTTTTAAAAGCCCTCAGAAAAAAATATTTTGGAGAACAAGCTCATGTGATTTGGTCACTTTTGGTAATTCCCATAATATGATACAGATTAGCAACTTTGGTCCATACAGTTAGAGCTGGGAAGGACCTTAGTGGCTGTCTAGTCATACCCCTTCATTTTACAGATGAGGAAACTGACACTGGGAAAGGTAAGTGGCTTGCCCAGGGTCACAAAGATACTAAGTGACAGAGGAAGGATTTGAATCTAGGTCCTCAATTCCCAATATATCTGCCTTTTAGTCAGATTTTATTTATATTAAGAATGATACTATATTTAAATTAGTTTAAAATGTATCATAGAAGAAGTCACCACATGCCTATCCATGAGAAACCCAGTACTTTATATTAATGAAGCTGAAGCAGTGCTTGATCTGAAAATCATTATCAGAAAATGAGCAAACTACATAGTGAGAAGAAAATAACCTGAAAACTCAGTGTACCTTTAGGAAAAGGGTAAAAAGCATATAAAAAGCAAGACTTTCCAGACATAATTTAATTTTCCCCCAGTTATATCCAATTATTCCTCATTTTCATCATTGAATTTACAAAACAGGAAAAGAACATAAATGATTCGTCTCATTCAAAGCACTGTGCTGACAGTATATACTTATTTTCTTAGGAAAAAAGCAAAACAAGGCTATTTGCATACAACTCAGGTATTTTTATCTTTATATTAATCCTTACCATAAACACAATGGGAAGAGTGTTAGATTTGGAGTCAAAACCAGATTAGACACTGAGCTAGCCAGATGATTATGGATAGAAAATTTCACCTAATACTGGGTTTCCTCATCTGCAAAATGGCAATAATAATATTGAAATGACTTACCTCACAAGATTGTGGTGAATGATATTTCTAAACCTTAAGTGGAAATGGAAACATGGCCCTTTTTTCTATTGTTGGGAGTATGGGAGTACAGCTCCCCCTTTCATCATAGTAACTCCAAGTACGGAAACTCACTTAACCAAAGTTGATCAGCAACCCATCTTATATGGATTAGATATCTTATATCAGCATGGTGCAGTAGGTTCAGATTCAGGAAAGCCAGGTCCAGATTTCACCTACAATTTTGACTATTTCCTATGATGAAGGAAGTATTTTTACCTTTTTGGACCTAAGTTCCCTCAC